ATTCATTCATATATATATATATATATTTTTTTTTTTTTCACTCAAACTCCTTTTATCTAAACCACTATTCTTAACCATGGATGTTGCATATCTGCCATGTTTGTATTTGTATTTTTTTTTTTTTTTACACGTTTATTCAAGTTTGTAGTTCTAATCAAATCCTCGTTCAACAAGCAATGGGTTGTCAGATAGCTGTTAGAATGTGCATGGATCTACACTTTAAATAGTAGACCTACATAAAAAGTAGTAGACCACACTTATTTCAACATACTACGAACTGGGACTCATTCATTCTAATTTTATTATTTAGGATGGATAGTAATGCGAATTTACAGCAAATGACTTTATCAGTTGGTGATTGCCTCTTTTATTTAGACAGCATGAACTTCTTCCACCATATTGCTCGTTGCACTTTTTCCCCATTCATAAGTAATGTGAGTGCACCGTCTTCTGTCTAAAGTCTTTGAATGAAACTGTGCCAATCATTTACACAGAGACATGCAGAGCATGCAGACTTATTAGCGACATTTGGCTGTTGTCACATTTATTTCTGCTGTGTGATAGATTGTTAGATTAATCCATATCAAGTAAAAATGTCCAGAGCTAATCGTTATCGATACACATTTCATTGCGATCTCAATTCTAACAGTTATGTTTAGATCCATCTGTTTGTTGTGTTTTAAATTGGTACTCCCTGTGGTTATTTGCCTGTGTTTTTTATCCTAATTTGTTTCCTTGGTTTTTAATTAGTTCTACACCTGTTCTGTTTTCTGTTAATGATCTCCCTCTTGTATTTAAGCCTTTAGTTTTCCCCAGTGCTTTGTTCATTCTCGTCTGTGTTTTACAAGGTTGTGTTTCCCTTCTCCTGAGTTTCCCTGTTCCTTTTGGATTTACTTATTAAAAGACTGTTTCCTAAATACTCTGTCGTCGTGTGCTTCATTACAGCCACCGTTGCATGACATCAATATGATATTGTTTATCACCCAGCCCTAAAGCTAAAATTGTTTACTGACTGAATGTACTGAAATTAGTTATAAACCCTTTATAAATCTAATATCACCCACCGCTTTACCTTAGGTCAAATTCGAGCTGCATTGAAAATGATTAAAAAGCATCACAAGCAGATGTTATACATAAAATATTTTAGTTTTTTTTTTTTTTTTTAAGCTGTTTAAAAGTATTCAAATACATTGCACTTGCTTGTAAGAATGTGTCCTGTGTGAATGGTCCATGAGCATGTAGATAACAATGTCTGTCTCTGGTTGTGCCATAGTTTTTAAAATACTGTTACAAATTCATGTTTTTGTCACACTTTGCTATTGATATCACAGTCTGGAATATGTAAATGTTTTAAATATTATTGACAGTTTCACAAAGCCTGGTTGGCATGTAAAAGACATGTGTGATTTACTCAATTGTCCATTCTGTCTGTTTCCAATGCACACATGTACACATACACAGGGTATTCCAGAGCAATGGGCTCGGTTATTGCAAACCTCTAATATTACTAAGCTGGAACAGAAGAAAAACCCTCAGGCTGTAATAGATGTTCTCAAGTTCTACGACTCCAAAGAGACAGTCAACAACCAGAAATACATGAGCTTCACATCAGGAGGTGAGACACGCACACCCAAACAAATACACATGCATATGTATGCAGGGGCGTAGGTATGTAGTGGCCATGGTCACCCAGGATTGAAGCCTGACCACCCCTGTTATTTGCCATCTTCCCATGAATTGTAATAGATCATTAAGAAATATAAATATATGTTTAGTTCAGAGAGGATGTATAGTACTTATTTATGCTGTGTACTATATATATGAGTCAAAGACGAGACTTCCTATTTTGGTGTCTGCATCAAATTAAATGTGAAAAAGATATTTATATACCTAAAAAGCATATTAAATGCAAGAAAAGTGTCTAATGTTTCAAATAACTTGTGTGGGGGAAAAAAGTCAAAATATGGGTGAAATAATGGTCCATTGTCATTCAGCGTAAGAGATGTATTAATGTAAAAATGCAACAACATTCTGACCTGTCCTTATTAAAATATATAAAAGAAAAAGTGATCATACAGTTAGGTCCATATATATTTGGACACAGGCACAATTTTGATTATTTTAGCTGTTGACAAAAACATATTCAAGTTACAGTTATATAATGAATATGGTTTAACGTGCATACTCTGAGCTTTGATTTGATGGTATTCTCATCACAATTGGAGGAAAGGTTAAGGAATTACAGCTCTTTAATATGTACATCCCCCTTTTTCAAGGGACCATAAGTAATTGGACAATTGACTCAAAAGCTGTTTCATGGACAAGTGTGGGCTATTCCTTCACTATTTCTACATCAATTAGGCAGGTAAAAGTTCTGGAGTTGATTCTAAGTGTACCATTTGCATTTGGAAGCTGTTGCTGTAAACCCACATCATGTGGTCAAAGGACCTCTCCATGCAAGTGAAGCAGACACTTGTTAGGCTTCAAAAACAAAACAAATCCATCAGAGAGATAGCAGGAACATTAGGAGTGGCCAAATCATCCGTTTGGTACATTCTGAGAAAAAAATGCACTGGTGAGCTCAGCAACATGAAAAGGCCTGGACATCCATGGATGACAACAGTTGTGGATGATCAGAGGATCCTCTCCATGGAAAAGAAAAACCCTTTCACAGCATCCAGCCAAGTGAAGAACACTCTCCAGGAGGTAGGCGTGTCATTGTCAAAGTCTACAATCAAGAGAAGACTTCACGAGAGCAAATACAGAGGGTTCACCACAAGGTGCAAACCATTCATAAGCCTCAAGAATAGAAAGGCCAGATTAGACTTTGCGAAAAAAACATCTAAAAAAGCCAGACCACTTCTGGAAAAGCATTCTTTGGACAGATGAAATTAAGATCAACCTGTGCTAGAATGACGGGGGAAAAAAGTATGGAGAAGGCTTGGAACAGCTGTACACAGGCACAATTTTTATTATTTTAGCTGTTGACCAAAACATATTCAAGTAGGATCTCACACTGTTTCACACTGTAAAACATGGTGGAGACAGTGTGATGGAATAGGCATGCATGGCTTCCAGTGGCACTGGGTTACTGGTGTTTATTGATGACGTGACAGAAGACAGAAGCAGCCGGATTAATTCTGAAGTGTATAGGGATATACTGTCTGCCCAGATTCAGCCAAATACTTCAAAGCTGATTGGACAGCGCTTCATAGTACAAATGGACAATGACCCAAAACATACAGCAAAAGCCACCCAGGAGTTTTTGAAGGTAAACAAGTGGAATATTCTGCCATGGCCAAGTCAATCTCCTGATCTCAACCCGATTGAGCATGCATTTCACTTGCTGAAGAGAAAACTAAAGGCAGAAAGACCCACAAACATACAACAACTGAAGTCAGCTACAATTAGTTATTACAATTAATTTGGGGGTTGTACTGTGATCATTAAATAGAGTTTAATGTCATCTTATAATTTTTGCTCTAAATATGCCTGACAGGATTTTTTTTTTTTTTGGTATATAAACTTGTGTTACACTATATGACATTTTAATAGGTGCCTTCTGTAAATCTTGGTTAAAAATGTATGATAGTCATTATTTTTGATAAAAAAAAAAAAAATACTAATAATAAATAAATGAATAAACAGGACGCATTCTCAGTTAACAAACATATAAAGCTGTATTAAATATTTATTGTTTTGATGCTTGAAAATGTTTTGTTTACTATTATAACATCGTTGGGTTGAATTACTGACACTAGGGATCGCACTTGAGAGACCCAAACACTCCTGATATTTCAGAAAAGGCCAATGAGAATTGGCAAATGGAATTTGTATGCACCGCTCCCCCATACACACGGGTATTAAAAGGAATGGGCATCCATCCACTCATTCAGGTACATGCTTAGGAGCCAAGAGCATGTCCCAGACATTCAGCGGGTAGTTCAGTGGCAGGAGGGACACAACGTCTCGTTCCCCCCAACAGGGAACAGAGGTTACAATAGTAACCAAGATATTCCCTATCTGTCAGTCACTTTGATGTTGTAGGAGGATTCTTGGGAAGCGAACAAGTCTACCTGTGCTTTGCTGAATCAGATCAGCTGGACCACCTGAGGGTGCAGTATCCACTCTCCTTTGAGTGCTGCCCATTGAGACAGCACGTCCACTGCCTGATTGAGCTTGCCTGGAATATGAGTGGACCGCAGTAACTTCAGTCGCTACTAACTCCAAAGGAAGAGATGGTTGGCGAGATGTGACATGTGACATGAGCGTAAACCGCCGTTTATTTGGTCCATCCTGACCAAAACGTGCTTGCTCAGGATCAACAGCCGAAACCTCAGCAGGGCAAGGAATTACTGTGAGCATCTCGAGGCATATATGCACTCGATATTCTGTCCAGGAGCATGAGGCCGTGTGCCTGACTTGAATATGTCTCTTGAGTCAACAATATGACTGGACACTTGTTCTAGGGGAACCCCTGTCCATAGAAATGCAAGGTCTGTCCAAGGACTGAATGTACAGAAACGATAGCCACTCGATGCATGCCATGGTCCCATACCAGTTCGAAGCCAGTGCTGAAGCGGTCTCATACAGGGCCTTGCGAAAGTATTCATACCCCTTAATTTTTTTCATGTTTTGTTAAGTTGCAGCCTTATGTTAAACTACTTCAAATTTATTTTTTTCCACATCAATCCACACACCATAATGACAAAGCAAAAACAGAATTGTCAAAACTTCATACATTTATTAACAAATAAACACACTTAAATAGGTACATTGCATAAGTATTCATACCCTTAACTACTTAGTTGAAGAGCCTTTACAGCCTCAAGTCTTTTTGGTATGATGCAACAAGCTTTGCACATCAGCATTTGGCAATTATCTGCCATTCTTGTCCTCACCTCTCCACCTCTCACGTTCTGTCAGGTTGGATGGGGGCAAACGCACATTTTAAGGTTTCTCCAGAAATGTTTGATTGGGTTCAAACCCAGGCTCTGGCTGGGCCACTTTGGTGCACTGAGCTTTTCTTCTACTCTGACGAGTCCCTCAGTCAGTTTGGCCAGCTCTAGGAAGAGTCCTGGTTGTTTCAAACTTCTTCCACTAAGAGTAATGGCGACTACATGCTTCTGCGAACCTTCAATGCAGCAGATTTTTTTCTGAACTCTTCCCCAGATATGTGGCTTGATGCAATCCTGTTTTTGAGCTCTACAAGCAGTTATTTTGAACTCAGGGCTTGATTTTTACACTGATATGCATTTTCAGCTGTTAGACCTTTTATTGAGAGGTGTGTGCCTTTCCAAATCATATCCATTCAATTGAATTTGCCACAGGTTAACTTCACTCGAAGTGTAGTAACAGCTACAAGCAATATGAATGCTTCTGAGCTAAATTTAAACTGTCCCAGATAATGGTATGATTACTTATGCAATGGAATCATTTAAGTTTTTTTTTTATTTTGAACAAATTTGCTTTTGAAAGATGTTGAAAACCTGTTCTTTGCTTTGTCATTATGGTGTATGGAACATAGATTGATGTGGGAAAAAAGTCATTTAAAGCATTTTAACATAAGGCAGCAACATAACAAAATGTGAAAAAAATGAATACTTTCGCAAGGCACTGTATGCATCAACCTGAGCAGTTACTGATGGGTTGGGAAGGTTGTGTTTGGGGGTTGTGTGACCCAGGAAGTGCGAAAGCTGCTCTTTTTTTGAAAATTTGGGTACTGCCAGGCTCTGGCTGGGCCACTCAAGGACATTCACAGAGTTGTCTATAAGCCACCCTTGCTGTGTGCTTAGGGTCATTGTCCTGTTGGAAGATCAACCTTCTGCCCAGTCTGAGGTTCTGACCCTGTTGAAAAAACCAGCATATGCTGGTTAGGAGATAATGGTATGATTACTTATGCAATGGAATCATTTAAGTTTTTTTTTTATTTTGAACAAATTTGCTTTTGAAAGATGTTGAAAACCTGTTCTTTGCTTTGTCATTATGGTGTATGGAACATAGATTGATGTGGGAAAAAAGTCATTTAAAGCATTTTAACATAAGGCAGCAACATAACAAAATGTGAAAAAAATGAATACTTTCGCAAGGCACTGTATGCATCAACCTGAGCAGTTACTGATGGGTTGGGAAGGTTGTGTTTGGGGGTTGTGTGACCCAGGAAGTGCGAAAGCTGCTCTTTTTTTGAAAATTTGGGTACTGCTTCCCCTTGGGACAGCAGCAAAATAAAAACAAAAGGGAACACGGAGGTTTCCCAGGTGGAGCATGTGAAACAAAAACAAAAGTGCCACCAGGGGAAGGATCGGTGTTTTGCAAGAACAGGTCTCACACTCCACTTGAGAAACCTTTGTGTACATCCTGGCCACCCCACAGTTGAAAGTAGCGAGTGTGGAGGAGCTTGTGAAGCAGGACCGGGCAGTGATAGGTGCCCTTCACGATTTTGTGAGCTCCTCATGCACTTCCAGGAAGAAAAGGTACTGTTTGAGGCCACATACCAGTGTCAGAGGTGACTTATCTGAATTAAAAAAGAGAGTCAAGAACGCAAAGTTGCCATGGTCACGTTCTCGCAGTGAAGACTTAACTATTCATGAAAGCTTTCTCAGCATGTGTACGTCCCTGACACACGAGGTAGAGATGCCGTCCGAGTTTGACAGATATAGACCGCACTCAGAAACACAGAGATGGAAATGCATTTTTACAACTACACTGACCATCTGTGTTTACTCTTTTGTTGGAAACTTCTCTTTTTCTGAAGAGCCCAGGGGAGCTCTTAGCAATTATCTGTACGTTGCAGGGAGAGGAACCTCTGAAAATGCACCGTTGCACCAGATACAAACATTTCCACAAGGTGAATGGGATGAGCTTGTAGCACTTGCTTGGCTCCAAGTCTGAATGAGTGGATGCATGCCCACTCCTTTTATACCCATGTGTATGGGGGAGTGGTGCATGCAAATTCCACTTACCAATTCTCATTGGCCTTTTCTGAATTATCATAGGTTACCTAAGTGCGACCCCTAGTGTCAGTAATCTGACACAATGTCAAATAGGGAACCCCTTTTAGTCTTTGACCCATATATCAAATTGAGTATGTAATCAAGTAGTTCAGATCATACTGATCAATTTTTAAAAATGTTGTATTTGGCACAGAGAACAAGAATATTAACTGTAAATGAAATGATGTTGTGCAGTATTTTGCTAGATATTTGCTGAGAGGCTGTTATTAGTAAAACTTAAAAAAAAATTTTTTAGTAACCTTCAACTCTGTAATATTTTACTTTAAAACTCCTTGAAGCTAACAAAACATGCGAGCAAAGAATCAGCCATTAAAAAGTATTTATTCTTTTTTTTTTTAAAGAAGTCCTGAAATTGTCCAGCAGAATTGGCAGTTTTATAAAAGCTGATTTATACTTCTGCGTCAAAACTACGCCGTAGGTTGTGCATAGCATGCGTAGTCTACAGCACAGCCTGACGCGCACCTCTCCAGGGGCCTCATTTATAAAACGTGCGTACGCACAGATTTGATCGTAGAGTGTGCGTACGCAAAAATCCACGCCAACGTTCATATTTATAAAAACGGTCTTTGACGTGGAAAAGAGCTTAGCGCCATGTCAGGGTCTGAGCAGACGTACGCACTTTTGTTTGCCTGAGTTTTGGAAATATAAGCCATTCTTGCCGCTTGTAAAAGATTTGGACATTGTCAGGTGCTCTTTTATAAGTAAATGACATTAATTAGACATCGTTTACAAGGTGGAGATCTGAAACTGTTCAGCTGCACACAATTTCAAGATCATTGCAATTTATAGATTTCACATCTAAAAGAGAGGCGTACGCACATTTTCTGTGCATACGTTCGTTCTATGAATCACACGTACGCACTTTGAGAAATGATCGTAAAATCTAATTTAGGATGCTTTCTACGCAGTATTTTATAAATGAGGCCCCAGAAATGTAACAACGCATCAATTCTACGAGGACCACAAGCGCTGTGATTGGTCTGTTACAACCCCTACAACCCCTCCCTTTCAGGTCAAAAAATAAAGAAAAATCTGCGATAGCGCCGCATTTCCTCATACGCATTTCCGTTTGCGACATGTGAAAGCAAAGATGTTGTCTCCTGTTTTTTCTTTTTAAATAAATTATCTGTTCTTCGATATTTAACAACTCAAGCTGCAAAAAAAGTTGCTTTCTATTTACTGCTATCACTGCTGCTGCTTCTTCTTCAGCTTTTGCCTTGATACTGTGGGTTACACCATCAACATGCCCGTGGACACTGCATTCTAGCGGTCTGCATGTGTAATTGCACGTCGACGAGGACAATGACGTAGAAGTATAAATGATGTATAAATGACCGACACGTAGCCTATGGCGTAGGTCCGACGCAGAAGTATAAATCAGCCTTAAGAATGACACATCTGACCCTTCTACATTTATATCTAATAAAGAAGAATCATGTAAGTTATGTTTACAAAAATTCTGACTAATGGAATGTTTATGCTTCCAGATAAATCCTCTCATGCAGCCAATACTCTGGTGAGTTTTTTCCCCTTTTTTGTTTCCTAACTTGATATTTGATTTCAAATTACCAATTCATCTTCATGAAATAAAGAATCCATGATTCAAGAACCCAGTAATGCCATGTCTACCCCTCACAAACAAAACTTTTAACAGACTAACTGAATTGCACTAAAATCTACTGTAGCCTATAGAATTTTGTGTTGTCTGTAAACAGAAGAACCATTCTATAGCTTTATGAGCCATTCCAGTCTGTGCACGGTCCGTGTACTTTTGCGTCCATTCGTTTTTAGTTTTTTAACCATGACGGAAAAAAAACAAAAAAAGAACGGTTATTGTATTTTTAAATGCTATGCTGAAAACCAAAATTGAAATTAGAACCGTACACACAAAATGCTGCACGAAAAAGTAAAATATTTATTTATTTTCAGATATTTGTAAATAAATTTTTGCACTTTTAATAAACATTTGAAAAATGCACAAATTAATATATTTATATTTATATATTAATATTTATATTAATATATTTTAACAAGTTTTCTTTGACCAAATTTAGTGATGCTTCTCCCACACGTTCAGTTGAGAACTAGAGTCGTCTTTGGAACAATGCATAGACTTAATACAAATGTGATTTTTAAAATAGACATTGAAGAATCCTGGTAAATCTACCATCATGAAATTATATATTGGGATATAACTTTGTGTGCTATATGGGTACGTTATTGGAGAGGACCAGGCATGGTCAATGCACGTACAGTAGGCTACATTGTGTTAGAGCGCTACACACGGTTTAATATATGGGGTAAATATATATAGGCTAATATAGAAATATATAAAGTTATAATCTCCAGATACAGGCAGGCCCGGTTCCTGAATTAAATCACTGAGGGTGCTTCTGAAATCAATGAGGGTGCTCTAGCCGTATACATTTTGACATATTTTTGCCCTGTTCACTGATAGTGCCATCCGCATAATGCCGCGTTTAGGCTATACAGGGCTCTAGACTCATTCTTCCCACTGGTCGCTCTTTTGCGAATTTCTCAGTTGGTCTCACGAGCACATCATTTGGTCGCAGTTTTTTTTTTTTTTGCTACAACATGGCATTAATCAATGCATGTTCATGAACTTTTATCATAGTTTAGTTATATGGTAACGAGTGTTCAACATTCAACCCGTTCTTTTTCATCAGTATTATTTGTGATTTGAAATTTGTGAATGGGAATTCCTCTTTTGCTGTGTTATGAGCCGGACTTTGGACGCTTTCACTTTCACTTTCACTTTCGAATTCGCGATCTTGGTGTCACATTTTACAAGAAAAGATATTTGTCTGTTTTGCTTATATCTATACACCTTTCACTTTATAAGACTAAAACAAAAGATTGATTCATTGTTATTTTTAATTAAAAAGCACAACAACAATAAAACAGTAGGCTATAATGACAAACTAGCTTACATAACGTTTATTAACAAAAACGAATAAGATGAGACATGGCTCCACATGCTATATTATATACTGACTAATAAATTACAGAATGTTTAGCAAACAGTGAGGAATCAAATAAATAAAAAACAAAAAAATTAAAGAAAGCCTCCATAGGGTAACGTGAGGTAAACAGCAAAGATAAGATTTTTAAAACGAAAAAACAAAAAGAAAAGTGAAACTAAACTGGCTGTCGGTGACAGGACTTGCATGTGTTTTTTTTCCACAAGAATACCAACATGTTCACCTTCTCTGGTTTATGAAGTGGCCTTTTATTTTATTTTAGTGTGAAAACCAAATCCGCCGCCTTTCATAATTTTCTCAATATTCATCTGCAGAACATAAGATCCATGGGGCGTGGTTGGATCCAGATCCAACTCCTCCCACCTTACATATACCTAAACCTACCTGTCTCCACCCCCTGATCACTAAACCCACCCATCTCCACCCCTAAACCTAGGATTCAACCACGCCCCCTGGATCTTGTGTTCTGCAGTGATGGGCTACTGAAGGTGCGCGCAGCACGCGGTAAAAATGATGCAAATATTCAGTAGCTCTTCACTGCAGAACACAAGATCCAGGGGGTGTGGTTGGATCCACATCAAGGGGGTGGAGATTGGTAGGTTTAGGGGTGTAGATGGGTTGGTTTAGGGATCAGGGGGTGGAGACGGGTAGGTTTTAGGTATATGTAAGGTGGGAGGAGTTGGATCTGGATCCAACCATGCCCCCTAGATCTTGTGTTCTGCAGTGAGGACTCGTGCTTGTGCTGACACGGCAAGTATAAACCAGGCTCTACACCTGAAGCATTCGCACTGAAAGCGCCTCTCTTCACGTGATCAGTGAAATCTGACTCCTGCTATAGTGTGCCTCGCTGTATGCAGCAGACGCTTTGGAGCAAGGCAGACCATGCACTCACACAAATGCGACCACGTCAAATTTGAGCTCGCACATTCTCAAAAAAATTATCGCAGTCTACATGCGGTTGTCACTCCCGAAACTTTACAGCGTGCAGCTGTCAGTGGTCCAACAGCATCATGAAAAACAAAATTTATTCAAATTCTGAATGAATTAGCCAAGAAAGCGCGCTCTGCGCTCCCTATAATAATTATAAAGCTGTCATTTATTTCAGTTCATCGCGATCTCACAAAAATCCATTATAATCAATGAGGCTCGGCCATAGGAAGGGTTTAGAGAGACTGAATCTTAGAACTGCTTTGAACAAATCGTTTGAGAATCATTGGAAAATGAGGTGATATTAAATGCATATTTTGAGAAAACGAAAGGGTTGTTTGACCTTGCATGCACGTAAACCTATTGTAGGAGACTCCCAAAACAATACTAGGAACCTTAGAAATAATAGGGGGCATAATAGGGGCACTTTAAGATCATAAAAATATCGAAGCTAAAGGTTTTCATAAAGCAGTTAAGGTAGCCACGTAAGTAGCGCGAGAGGGCGCTAGCGTCTGTATAGAGACGCTAAAAAAGTTAAAAGAAATTAAATTTAGCATTTATATAACAAAAAAACAAGCTTTATATCATTTTTACGATTTTTAATGAACCAGATCTTGCTATTTCTCTTCAGACACAACCGTCCTCAAAGTTACAGAATGAACAATCATGATTTCCTGACTGACTTCATTAAAATCATACAACAACTAAAACCACAAAAATATGGACTTCAGGAATCCGTGTATCATTCGATCATTCGTTTTTTGATTTAATATTGAAAGAAGAAAAATGAGAAAACGGCTCCTTTTTCGTTTTTTCGTTTTTTTCTTTCCAAAAATTGAAAAAAGAGAATTCAGCTTAAATTTTCGTTTTTCGCTCAGGGGTAGAAAAATGAATAAACAGCTTGAATATTTGATTTCTACACGTGGGCGGGAATTAAACGCCCCTTTCTGCTGATTGGTCAGCATCAAACCGTGCCATCATCAGTTCTTCCGCAGTATCACGCAGCAGAATAATAGTCCTCCACTGCTGCAGTTGTATGGATTAATAACCCATTTGATCAATTTCATATTTTTCTCATCAAACAGACTAATGAATAGCTCGACACAACTCGTACCGGGGCAGAGTCTAGACAGGTCTTTCTTCTGTGTAGACCAGCAGTTCTTAAAGTGATAGGGGGTCCAAGAAATAATTTGCTATAGCCTAAAGCTATTTCCAGACTGTAAAGTCGCTTTTTTT